CTTCCGATCTTTAAAAAGACATCTTTTCGTCATCTTTTAGATATCTTTTCGCTTAGCCGAAAAGACATCTTAAAAAAGACATCTTTTTGTCTTCTATTAGGGTTTTGTGCTGTCTGGGAAATCTCATATACAATAGAAATAAAATATATTTAAATGGTGACAAATAAGAAAATGGTTGACGAGTAACATTTCAATAGCGGTCTGTGAGACCGATGTAGTGGTTTAAAGGTTAACCTATAAAAGCATAGAATATTATCAATTACATATTTCAGTAACTTTTGTCTGGGATTATATAGCCAGGACATCCTTAATAGTATCTCGTCGGTGAATGAGTCTAGCAGTTTGCTTAAGATCCATTTTAAAAATCGCGCCGCATATGTGCATCGCGTACGCATCTGCGCAATCGACACGTATACGATCGTCGACGCACGTCGACGTTTCAAGAGTTTCAGGACGAGGTAATTGAAACGAGTTGTCCCTGTCCGTGTCGCTGCCACGTTTATATATTTGTCCACGATGAACGCATGGACGCAATACTTCAAATCCATCCCAACGCACATGGTGAGTACCGAGATCTTTGGACAACCACGCCGATTATATTATTCGTGACAGGTTCAAGGCGATGTACATTCGTTGTTTAGGAGGTTAGGATTACTGAAAGACACCGTATGTCAACGTAATCGACACTTTGCGCGATTGTCGAAATAATTTACATAGTAAACATTTAAATAATTTGTCAATTCTACGTTTATCAGTTACTTATAAATTTCTATGCCATATACGTTATTCTCGTGTTCTGTAAACGAAGCTTCGTATTTTTTAGATATCTTTGTTATTTATGTTGTTTATTTTAGGATTATGATGGCCAAGCCAGAGCAGAGAAATTGTCGCGAGTCATAATAACGTTATTTGGGGTGAGCTACAATTTTCTAGAAATTTTGAAAAAATTCAGTTAATAATAACAGTACAGAAATTAACGTATTCTTACAGGTGGTTGGCTTAGTTTGGGGATACGTCATTCAACAATTCTCACAGACAATCTATATTCTGGGCGCTGGATTTGTTATGGCGGCGTTAATCACTGTACCTCCATGGCCCATGTATCGCCGTAAACCATTGGATTGGCAAAAGCCACAGGCTGAAGTTACCACGAAGCTCAAAAAGAAAAAATAATTGCTGAACGTATTTAGGTATCTCAAACTAAATCTAATATAAAGTATCACGCAATCTTCGACGACTCGATCTTGATTGCTGATAGCGCAAATCTATGCATACCACTGAGCATTTGTTTTCGTGCAGTTATACAAAATATCCTTTAATATATTAATGCAAGTGTGCATCGAAGCAAGTATGAATGTATGAAGGATTTTCTTTTTTGTAAGATATACATATATTATTTTTACTTTAATGTCTGTTGGCTGTATAAATGCGAATTACAAATAAAATAATATTGTATTTGCATAAAAATATATTTATGAATGTAGATAATGACCTATATAAATAGTGAGATAAAGAAGATTTCAAGAGCAATAAGATTTTTATGATTTTTATAAAAAATAAAAAGAATAACATCTTGAGTCTCGAAACGAAGTGATTTAAAGGAGCACTGTTCTCGTCTGTGTTGCTGTCACATCTGTATAATTGTTCGATGAACACATGGATGCAATACTTCAAATCCATCCCAACGCACATTTGTGAGTAATGAGATTGTTGGACAACCACACCAAATGGGAGACGTGAGAATAAAATTAAGTAAATCTGTCACTGATAAATTGTGTGAAAATAATCCTGTTTTATTTATTCTCTACAATTATGCAATATTGGATATCCACTTCGTCTTCATATGTATTATATAACAAAGTTTCAGCATTTATTAACTGTCATAATGAAAACAAAAAAAAACGATTAAATTAATTCGACATAATTTAATAAACCTAATATGTATATACTCAATACTGTATATACTCAATACTGTATATACTAAAAAAAAAAAAGAAATTTCTAGACTTATTTTAATTTGATAAGCAACTGGCTAATTAAAAAAAGCTAACAATTTTCTCGAATAATTTCTCTTAAATGAGCATTATCTCATTGTTATACATAAAACATTAATTATCATTTCTATCGCATAATGTAAGTTCAAGAAAGTGTACAAACGGCATATATAATCAAATAATTACCCGACCCGTTATATCGCTTCGATTTCGCATTACAAGTGCTTATGTAAAGAAGGAAAAAAAGGAGAGGGGAATCGAACGTAATCCTTATACATTTGCAACAATTTCGCACGGGCGATAGCATTTCCCTTCCGCAACGGAACCGCTCTTATATAATCGCGCCCTTATATAATTGCAGAAATTGCCACGGATCACCTCTTGCGAATCCGTCCGTTCAATCAATTACGCGTCCTTCGCGATTACGGCACGCCATAAAAGTCTTGGTCAAACCCGTTGGACGCGTTCCAACGTTTGACTTTCATCGATCACGCTTGTCCATTTTCTCCGATCGCGAAACTGACCGTCATTTCCCTCAAAATCAGCGCGCCTATTGACTTTCACGACTACGCGCGAAAGACGGTAATTGTCGCGGCGCGCGATAAAGATCGGAGGATTCCAGACATGATGTGGTTAAGTTATAACATGTCCCAGGCTTTCTCCTCTCTTTCCTGCTTATGCTATATTATAACTTCTAACAGCCGAATGAGTTTGCAAATTAAGCTATCACATTGAAGCGTGTTACAACTTGAATTTCAAGGACGACTCAGGAATTTCAAGTTGATATTTTGACATTAAGATCCCTTTCGTCCGTTCACTCGTCACTATCTCAATCAGATTCACTATCTTCATTTCAGATTGCGACGTCGGAGCGTCATTTTACAAGTCAATTCTATCAACTGTAAGTGTTGTTTTAATGAAACATTTTTTTAAATTTTATTTTAATTTTTATTTTTTTTGCAAGACTTTATTGTGTATTTGCTCGCTTGTGACGGTACGATTTGAGATAGTAGCAGTGAATGAACAGGCCTAAATATTTCGGCTAATCCCTAACAAATCTGTCGCGTAGATTAAAATAAACGATTATTGAGAATAAATAACAAACAATAAAACTCACTCTTTGGCTGCATATATCACTGCCACTCGATACCTTTTCAGCCTCCTTTTCTCCTGCTTCATCGTTACTGCATTTTTCTGGCACACGACGAAATCACTGATCACTCGCGAATGCACGGTTAACCATGAAATCACGCAAGCATTAATTATATATATATCGAAGTACGACGTTCGCGCGACACTTCGAGCGGTACTCCCGACACACTTGATGATCGGACGTGACACGCACTTTATTACGTCACGAAAAAACAACACGGATAACACGAAACACGATAGTGTAGAAAAATAGGACCGCACGAAGTTATATGATGATTTGTCCGATACCCGTGACTCGTATTTGCGCAACAGGCGAATCTTAAACGACAGAGGAAGTTCGAAAGTCGCGCGGCTAACTTCACGCACCACGTACTCGTCGCGGTGATGACGCGACTAATCCCTAGCTCTTAGGTCTATTTCTACCAAGGCAGATTAACTTTAATCTCGATTTAATTTATACTCTTTATCTTTTTCTGATTCTTAGAGCTGGAAAAAGAAAAGTAAGTTAAATCGAGATTAAATCTACATTGAAATGGTCATTTTATAGCTAATTTGGCCTTTACAAATTTTAACATACGCGTGCGTCTTTAAGGCTATCTGTAGTGACGTAAAATAAATAAATGTACGAGTTGATATTGAAAGTAAATTTCCGCGCAATGTAACATCCGAAAATATACGCTTTGCCGACTCATTTCTCTCGATAAGTTTTCGAACAAATTTTTGCGATATAGGCATTTCGACGAATCGCCAACGTGTGAATGTCGAATCTATACACTATGCAATGAACAAATACCAAAGTACCAGGTTAATCACAACTATATTCACTAATTAAACGCGCGCGTCGCGATGCCACTCGACTCGGCATCGACTCGTTCCGTACTCGCGACGTTTCGTTAATGAGCAAAGATTTGGAAAGTGATAACTTCTGCACCCCGATACAACGTGAGTCGAATTAAGTAGTTAATTAAGATGCGACTGTCCGAAAACGTACTAAATGATAATTACACGTATATTATAAATATAAATGCCTAAATTTAGCATAAAATGGCTATTAATAAACGACGATATATGTTACAGAGCTTTCGTTAACTTCGCGAATTCTTTGCAGGAAGGATTATATTTTCTCCCGATACTTACTTGCCGCGAGCGCGTCTCGAAGGATAATGACGCGTCACACGGAGCATGACGGAGTAGCTTGCCCCGCTCGCCTGTTCGCTCGAGTGTCGCTCGAATCTATCGTGTTATTATACGAATTGACAAAGCGACTGTATACACACAACAATCCCTTGCGCACAGCAAACAATGAGCGCCGAGTATTTTGTTTAGGTTGTAGTCTAACTTGATTCGTTATCGCTATAGGAAGTAATTAACAATTAGATACACCGGATATTTTATTTCATACGCGTCGCAAGTGTTAAATTATTCGATGAACGTGCACATAAGGCGCGTTCAGGTAGCACATGCTATCAGCGCTATTGCGCCATTCTAGCTTTATCATTTAACTAGATGTAAAACAAGGATAGAATAACGCGATAGTGCTGACAGCGTGCTGCGCGAACATGCTTGTAGGATTCATGACGCTATATTTGCAAGTTGTTTGTTTGCATTTGTCCGCATTCATTTGCTTTAGATAATAATGACAATTTTAGATGATTGCGATTATTTTTGATTGAGAATTTTTGTTAAAAAAAATTAATTTCAGGTAACACAGTTAAAAGTTTGCTTTAGATAACAATTTTAGATGATTACGATTATATTTGATTGAGAATTTTTGTTAAAAAAAATTAATTTTAGGTCACACAGTTAAAATTTGTTAAATTATAATATTAATTATTAATATATTAATAAACTTATTTTATTAATATATTAATATTAATAACTCTGCGATTAATTTATTACAGAGTAACATTAATGATTAATCGATTTATCGATATCAGCTATTTGCTGCAATGTTAATTAATACTGATTCGCAATTCAAGAACTATTGTAATCGTGATATTTTGTATTAGAATTTTCGTTTCCAATCCAGTCATCAAAATACATTATTAAATTATTATGTGGTAATTATAGGACACTCTTATAAAAAATATAAATATTAATTTATATTTATAAATATAAATCTTAATCTATTAAAGCGCTTTGAAAGAAAAATTATTTAAAAAAAATCAAAATTTAAGGTAGTACACTCGCGACATCCGAAAGTTATAGGTCTTCCTTTCATCGCGCGCTCGATGACGATACTCCCACTCCCGCCAGTGAGAGAAAACATTGGTTGCGCCTGTCCATAGGCCGCACGCACACGCGGAAAAAAATTAATAAGATAGACGCAGACTAACGCAGCAGAGACTGGCCGCCTCCTTCACTCGCCTCCATATGTCAATCAAAATCGAAAATTACATTTTTTTCAAGGCTCTATTTTTCAAGCTAAACAGTAAAAAATTATGAATTTTTTTACAATATCTGTTTCATGTCCCTTTATTGCATGCTCGTTTTTTATTAACATTTTACTGCTAGTTTAGGCCCTATAAAAATAAACGCGACATTTTCATGAACTTTATATAGGCGACACGTATAAAAAATAATTTTTAATTGCTTATATCTCAGTATCGAAACAGTCAATCTCATTCTAATTGCACAAGCGTGTCAACGACCTCTAGTACAACGTATAGTTTGAATTTCAAGAAATTCTGACTGTTTTCAATTCGCGAGTGTACTATCTTAAGTAATTGCTCGCATCGTATATAAATTTGTATCGTTCATTTTGGGAATATTCCAAGTATTATATCATCATAAAAGGTCCTTATTACAGATTATGTACTGTGTTATGTTCTTCGAAGCGTGTTACGCACTTGCCGGTCAAGACGCACAAAGAACTCTTATTAACGCGCGCACATACAAGCGAGGTAAAAATCGTTCGGCATGAACGCGTTACCTCTTACGCAATCGGGATACCGGATATATATTGGTAAATTCATCGGCACGAACGGTCGCTCCTCGAGCGTCCATTTCGTTATTTCTTTTTTTCTTGATCTTGCTTCTTTTCGACCACGGCACGGCTAACTTGCTCTGTATCGAGATACGCAAAGATGTGTATGTGTGCGCGCGCGCGCGTATGTGTGTGTAAGAGCATTACGAAACGCTTTCTCCCTGTATGATGGATATTTTAAGTATGCAACTTGCACCACTTCCTGTTACACCGACCGGGTTTACCGATACGCGATCGAAGAAAAAAAAAGGGAAAAGAGGACGTAATTGAAGCGGAGCGTGTAATATGTACAACACGGTCTCGATCGTTACCTTGGTCTTAACACTGAATCGTTTGTTTGGAGAGCCTCGTAATCGGTCTGAATGCAGGAGAACCGGCAGGAATGCATAGTAATTTTA